ATTTACATATTTTTACATGTAAACACTTTGCTGGATAGTTTTATTAACTCGACAAAAGCTAAAGTCATTTGAGAGGAAGAACCGTAATTTAAAAAAATGCCTCCATAAGACTGAGATATAGGCAAGCCTGTGGGACATTTTCTTAATTAGTGATTGATGGGGGAGGACCCAGAGCATTGTGGGTAATGCTAATCCCTGAGCTGGTGATCCTGGGGTCAATAAGAAAACAGACTGAGCAAGTCATGCGAAGCAAGCCAGTAAGTAGCCCTCCTCCATGGCCTCTGCATCAGTTCCTGCCTCCAGGTTCCTGCCCCGTGCGATTTTCCACTCTCACTGCTTTTGATGACACACTATTATACGGAAGTGTGAGAGAAGTAAGCCCTTTCCTCCACACTGCGTTTGGTCATGGTGTTCCATCACAGCAATAGTGACCCTAACAAGACAATGACACATACATACACGCACACACACACACACACACACACACACACACAACATGCATAACTAGATATGTTTTATCCACACTTTATAACCACTGAATAATCAACTTCTTCCCTGATCTTAATAGGAAATGCACAGGACATGTGTCTTAGGCTTTCTTTTACTGCAAAAAGACACTGTGACCATGGCAACTCATTCCTCACCCCCACTACCCCACCCCCTGGAAGGCAGACCAGGCTGACCTCAAAGTCACAAAGATCTGCCTGTTTATGACTCCCAAGTGCTTGGTTAAGGGGAATTAAAGGCGTATGCCACCACCCTCCTGCTGACCACAGCAACTCTTGTAAAGAAAAACATTTAATTGGGGCTGCCTTATAGTTTTAGATGTTCAGTCCTTTATCCTCATGGGGAAAGCAAGGTGGCATACAGGCAGACATGGTGCTGGAGGAGCTGAGAGTTCTAATCTTGATGGGCAGACAGCAGAAGGAGATTTTGCTACACTAGGCCGGGCTTAAGCATTTGAGACCTCACAGCCTGCCCCACAGTGACACACTTCCTCCAACAAGACCACACCTACTCCAACAACACCACACCTCCTAATACTGCCACTCCCAACGGGCCAAGCATTCAAAGCCATGAATCTATGAAGGCCATACCTATTCCAACCACTACAACATATAACTTTCCCGAGGGGGCTGACATTTGAAGGTAGTCGCAGCAACATATACCCATGGCCCTTGATCTTTTAATATGTTTCTATTCTTCTATCAGGTTGTGGTAGTCTTCTACTTTCCTTTGTAATGCCAGACTAAAAAAAAAAAAACAACCAGAAAACAAAAACAATTGTGGTAGAAGTGAGCCTGCCATATAAAACCCAATGTACACCACGCCCCTTACCTTTATCACTCAGCTGCCATGTTTAGAGGAGGACTGGCCCTTCCAGAAGGGCACATGGGCGATACTCTCATCTAATCCAGCTGAGAGCCAACAGTGACAGCTAGACGTTCAGGCCTTGGTGTTTACATGACTTTCTATGAGAAGGGAATTGACCATGTCTGCCCTGCCCTTTGGGGTACCACAAACCACCCCAGCTTACTGAGCAATAGTGACCTAGCTAGCTTGAATGAGGATGTGTATTGCTGCTTTTATTTAGCATTGACTTGATCATGAACAGCTAATTGCTGCCCTACTGGGCAGTTTAGTGTCACTTGGTTGAAGCTTTCAAAATTTAGGGCTTCTATCAGACCTCATAAAACCTAGACCGTGCCCCTCTCAGATAAAAAAAATACCAAATAAATACCAATTGTTGGTTTACGCTCCTCAGCCTGGAAATGTTTTATTACAAAGCACCCGAGTAAGGGTTTCTATTGCTATTATAAAACACCATGACCAAAAACAAGTTAGGAAGGAAAGGGTTTATTTGGCTTACACTTAACACTTCTAGTCCATCACTGATGGAAGTCAGGACAGGAACTCAAGCAGGGCAGAAACCTGAAGGCAGGAGCTGATGCAGAGGTCATGGGGCAGGTGTGTGTGTGCTGCCTACTGGCTAGTTCCTCATGGCTTGCTCAGCCTGCTTTCTTATAGAACCCAAGGCCACCAGTCCAGGGATGGCGCCACCCACAATGGGCTGGATCCTCTCCCATTAATTAATAAAATGTCCTGCATTCGGATCTTATAGAGGTATTTTCTTAATTGAGGGTCTCAGCTTTCAGATAACTCTAGTTTCTGTCAAGCCGACATAAAACTAGCCACTACACAAAGCAATAATTGATTCCTCCTCTCTGGATTGTATTACTATCTGTAGCATACAACAACAACAAAGCCCAAGTGTCTTCCTTGCCCTTTCCTGTTGTTTGTTTTTCTTTGATGGAGTTAATCACCACTGTCATACATCACAACATCATCCCCTAGCTTTTGAAATTACCACTGTTTCTTCTTATCCTGCCTTCTCAAGTGAACCTTGCAGGCCAGCTTGGTCTACTGAGTGAGTTTCAGAACAGTCAGGGATACACAGAAAAATCCTGTATTGCCCCCCCCCTCAAAAAAAATGAGGCCATGGTGATATGTGTTCAGGCATATTTCCCCCTTTGAAGATGTAGGATTCTGCCCTCCTCCCCTTATCGTGTCTCCATGTTCACCTTTCAATCTGAGGAAAAGTCTGCTCTGGGGGAATAAGCCATTGACTTCTAGTTAGAAACTGCACACATCAAGAACAAAACAGCCAATCTAACTTTGAATAGATAAGAAAAAGACACCTTTTCGGTTAAAGTGACCACATCCGGGGGCCACCACAGCTATTAGCAAGGATCCTGACTGGGTGAGCATGGAGTCCTACCAGCCCAGTGTCCTCGCAGGTTCAAGCAGCACAGACATACTCCTGCCTGCTCCAGGCTTTCTCCTGTTTCCATCAACAGTCCTGCCCTGTGGTCCTCTGGGCATGCTGTCTATAGTGCATGAAGCCTCTGGAATGTGGCCTATTGTGACTGGTGTGAACTGTCTTTCCACAATGCCCTTTCTCCCTGCACTATACACCTCATGGGTCCTAAAGTGTAAATGCTGCTTTGCCCCTCCTTGCACCAAAGCGTTAACATGCCCACAGGTGCCCTCGTTCTGTGTAAAGTGGAGAGTTGGAGAGTACCACTGTTTTGGCTATGCCTCCTCTCCACAGGGTTCAGATGCAACCCTCAAGTCTGACAGGCAGCCCCCGTCAAGAGTACCCTTTTCTCATCATTCTCCACACCTTTGCATGGGGGCATGGTCACCACTTCCACAATCCCCTCCTTCCCTCCTGGACTCTGCTTATCCACCCATCCTCTCCTATTGTCTTGGGATCTGAAGGAATTTCATGACCAGCAAATTAAGTAAAATTCTCAAAATGCTAAATTTTCCAGATTAGACAATTGGGCAGAGGGTGAGCTCAGGGTTTTCTAGAATGCAGTGGTTCTATTCCAAAGGGAGGGAGTAGCTCCCTGATGCCTGGGAGGGGATGAGTGATCGCTCTCTCACTGGGAAGACATAAGTGTCTAGCACAGGGGCTGAGCAATCTAGACTACTCCTATAGGTTGCTTTCACTGTTTCAGAATATCAAAAACATGGCAATCCATCGGAGATAGCAAAAGAACACCAGGAGAGCCGTTTATTGGCACCTCACGCTTGAGTATGATGCTGAAAATGTAATAAATTCCAGCCAATTTATAACTAGGCATTTTAATTTGTTTAGAAAACTCCAAAGTATTAATAACTTTATTGATTAAACAGCCCAAACATTCTAATTTAGTAACACATATCTTCGCACCCCCTCCTTTCTGCTTTTGTGGTGTTGGGGCTGAGCATGGCCGGTCCCACTATGGAGAAGCAGTCCCAGTCCTGCTCCATGTCTATGGCAGTTGGTGCTGTCATCTCGGAGGCTGGATATGCCTGTGTGGCATTATCTTGATTAGATTAATTGATGTGGAACAACCCTCTTACTTGTGGGTGGGGTCATTTTCTGGCCAGGAGATCTTGGACTGTCTAAAATGAAAACTCGTCTGCTTTCATCTTTCTGTCTCCTGATTGTGGATGTGATCAGTTCCTTCAAGTTCCTGGTGGTGTGACTGACTTCCCTGCCAGGATGCACTGCAACCTGGAATGGGGAACTAAAATCCTTCCTCCCTTAAGTCACTCTTCAGGGTTCACAAAAGAAGGGTAACTGAGATAGACCCTTATAAGTGCTAACTGCTAAATAAATACCTAGATTTGTTGCTAAGCAGATTTTATGTTTCTGGAGTGATGTGACTAAACTCAGGAGCATAAACCCCAGTCAGCGTTTTGCAACAGGAAAAGAAATGTTTTTCCCAAGATGGCATTCTTGCATATTAGTGTCAAAATAGTCTGATATGAAAAAATAGCAGAAATGATTAAACTTCCGTGCTTTACTGTTTTTTTTTCTTTTTGACGATTAAATATACAAGCCTTCACAATTTTGAGACAGATCAGTTTTCTAATCTGAACAAACACAATTGTCACAAATGCTAATGATGCTTACTTAAAATGCAAGATTTTTAAGAAAACATTTCTAAGCTGCCTGCTACATGGATAAATTTCTATTCCAAACCAAGCGTGTGTCTATTTTTCTAGGCCTTTAGGTAGAAATATGGTATAATGGTAAAGTATATATAAAATGTGAGTCTTATGAATTTAGTTCTACACTACTATTAATCAGTAATGTGCTTTCGGAACAAAGCCGGAAGTGACTCCCTTTGTGGCTTCCCCCTTGGGGAATCTGGGCAGGGTCTGTTTTCTTCTCTGGCTGAGATGGGGATAGATACACAGGAAATCTTCCTTCACACGTGAATTCCTTGTCCTCACAAAGCAGGTTTAGGGAGGACAACAGGGAAGTGGCAGATGGCTCCTGGCTTGACGTTTGCTTATCTGAGTGCGTGTTTTGGATTTAATCCATGCTGACCATGGGCTAGGTACACACAGCCATGCATTTAGGCTGCTGGCTCACACACAGTTCAATGACTGAAAGCATATGAAAGCAGTTGGGAAACATGTCTTTTTTATTATTAGTTTAAAGGACTCTACAATGTAGCAATATGCTGTAGACAGTTCAGAACCAAACAAAGACTATTTAGTTATTTTATTTTGCATTTTCTCCTTTTAGGAGGCAATATATCCAGAACTGTGGGCTCTTGAGCTTACTTTTAATTAAAATCCTTACAAATTAGGAAGCGTCACATATAGGTGTGTGTGTGTGGTGTTATGCACAAGAACTTCTGTATGTGTGCTTGCTTCCTCTGGCACCCTGGGTTGTGTGGGAAGTCATATAAGGACATTGAGTTAAATAATTCGACCTTTGTTCATTATTAAAACAATATTTAACTGTTTTATTCTTTCATGCAAATAAGAGGAAAATCCACACTTGTTTAGTGCTGATTTTTGCAAACACCCTCCGCCTCTCAATCCCGCCATTTGCTCATGTCCCACGTGAATAAAAGGATTCAGCTCAGGGGGGCAGGCCTTGCTGCCATTGTGTTTTTTCTAATTAAAATGCAGAGTATTAAACACAGTCGAGTCCATTCATGCACACATGACATGCTGTCATCACATGCAGGAAGCGCAGCTCACGAGCACACAGTGAAGGCTCATTTCATAACATCATTAAGGTTCATTGTCCCTGCACTCCTGAAAGGTTTTGTCAAAGCAAATAACAACGTCCTGTCACAGCCGGGCAGACAGATGCTCCCGGGAAGATGTCCTTTGGCTCCTGTTTTAGTGAGGGAACTTAGCTGCATTCTTACTGTACAGGCTCAGGGCTAACGCGAAGGGGGCTGCAGGTTCTTATTACTGTAAAAATGTTATAAAGACATGTAACGTTAGAGGAGTTAAGTGAACAATATTTGAGTAATCGGGTGGGAGTTTTCCCAGGAAGAGCCCCTGAGAGGAGACTGTACTAAAGCAGCAGGTATGTCCTGGAGCATGAAGGTGGGTGGGATTTGGGGTATGAGAAGTTCAAACTGGAATGAGTCAAAAGCAGGCACAGTCTTCTTTTCCTGAAGAACCGTTGGTATTGGCATTCTAATATCCGAAAAGAAGAACTCATTTTTAAAAAGTCTTTTACGTGCTACTGAGTGAAGAGGGGCATGGCGACAGACTTTACACTCTGGCTTCCTGAGTAGAAGAATCATATAATCCGGGAAAGAGACGCTGAGGACTTTTGCTTCGTCATATTCGGTATTTTTCTTTACCGTGTTCGTTGATCACGCATATGTGCTGAAACCATAGAGGGTAAAAACGCATCAGGATTCTATTTTTAGCTTAAAAGTTCACATAGAATGTGCTAGATGCCTTGATGACTATAGCAAAATAAAATAAAATAAAATAATAGACAAAAACAAAAAAACAGTATAGGGCCATTGTTCTGCTTCCCTTTTCTCAGCACCGAATGCAGATAATGATATGTTTCTATCATCCTGATAACCTACCTTGCGGGATACTGGAAGGATTGGAAGAATTAATTGTTTCTCCCAAAGTGTTCCCATCAAAAAATATAGCTACATTTTGCTCCTGTTTTTAGTAATTTGTTAGATTGATGCTAGTATTAACGTCTTAAGTACAGAGAATTCGGATTTTGCATGCAATACTTACATTCAGGTCTCGGAAGTATTCATTGTAGTCTAAGGCATAGCCCACCACAAAGACATCTGGAATCTCAAATCCAGCATCTTAGCCGAAAGAGACAAGGAAGAAAGTTTAGAGCATACTACTGCTATATGCCGCTCTGGCACTTAAAAGGTAAACAGAAGTGAGAAGCATTGTACAAGACAATCCAATGAATGCCTGGCCCAGAATGATGGCTTGGGGACACAAGGCAAACAAGCAAGCATGTATGCGGAATGGACCTGTAGTGTGCAGAGTTGAGGAAGGGTTCAGGAGGCCCAGTGGATGACGAGAAGTGTGTGTGTTAGCAAAGTGACTTTATTCACAACAAGCGGTGTGTAAATGCCATAATGCCTAAGGAGATGGTCTCACAAGCACAGAGGCCCATTGAAGCAGAAAGCATCGTGGCACTGCCACAACTGGGAAGCCATTCTCCCACTGTGTCACTGTTCTCAGCCTGTTGACGGGCTGGAAAGCAAAACCTGGGAGACAAAACGGAAGAAAAGGGGCTTGTGAGCTTGAAGGAGAGGACGCTGAGCGTCATTTCTGTGCCGATTCACCATGCAGGGATTCCTACTTAGCTCTTTATCTTTAATGAGCGTGGACTGGGAGGAAATGGGTGCAACAAAAGGAGACACTCGAGAACATGATGTTTATTAAGGAACAAACAACAGCGGGCTGGAGAGATGGCTCGGTAGTTAAGAGCACTGGCTGCTCTTCCAGAGGAATCCGGTTCAGTTCCCAGCACCCACACAGCAGCTCACAACTGTCTGTAACTCCAGTTCCAAGGGATCTGACATCTTTACACCAATGCCCATAAAATAAAGTTAAGGAATTTTTTTTTTTAAAGGAAAAAACAGACAACAATTTTCTTCCAGAGATCATCAGGCAGGGTAATGTGTGTGGTCTAGTGGTTTTCAAATTTGCTTCAGTATGTTGGAATCTTGTAAATTCGTTTGTTGTAATACGATAGACAAGAGGCATGTATGCCTAGTTACATGACACTGTACCCACAGGTACAGCCTGTGGACAGTGATCTTCATGGTCACTACCATTTGGGGTATTCATTTTTTTATTTGTTTGCTTCTTTGTTTGTTTTGTTGCTGTTGTTGTTTTCTCTGGAGGCATTGTTTCTCTGTGTAGACCTCGGCTGTTTTGGAACTCATTCTGTAGACCAGGCTGGCCTCCATCTCATGCTGGCCTGTCTCTGCCTCCCAAGAGCTGGGATTAAGAGCATGTACCACCACTGTACAGCCCATCATTTTGATCTCTATGACCTAATATGTTTTCAGTTTACACACAGTGCTAGAAGAATCAGCTTTCTAGGGGCCTGAATTATGGGGTCACTAAGTAGATGGCCTGTTTGATTCCTTGAACTTGCTGTTTCTAGAAATATAAGCAAAGAAGAACTGTGGACAGTGGTGCATGTCTGTAATCTCTGTACTGGGGAAGCTGAGCCAGGAGGCTTTTGAGTCAGATGCCAGCCCGGCTACACAGACAGACCTTGTCTGAACAGAGAGCAACAAATTTAAAGAGGAAGAAGGAAAGACATTAGCGTTTGAACATATAACAACGAGTCAAAGACGCTCAAAAATGCTGTCTCGGCACTTCAGAAAGGGGAAACCGGATTCTGAGCTAGCTAACACATCAGAATTAGTTCCAGGAAACCCTACTGAACAATAACAGACTTTCTAGGGAGCAATGGAGTCATTACAATGGTGTGATAAAGCAGACTGTGAAAACTGAAGCCCAAAGCCGCGTAGAAGGCCGAATATTGTGAAGTTATGGAATAGGAAATTGATGAGTCAGTGGGGCTGTCAGGAATCAGAGAGACCCATCACTCACTGGTAAGTGCAGCTCCTGCAGTGTTTGTAAATGCTGTGGTCTGAGGCAGACTGCCTAGGCTTGTTACTGGCCCTCTTCCTATGGTTGCATGACTCTGGCAAGCCATTTAAGCTTGTTGTGTTCCATTTCTTTGTCTTTTAGATGGGCATATCAATAGCAGCTGTTCTGGAGACTAAATTAACTTACCCTGTATGCTGTAAGAACCTGGCCCGCCTGGCACATCATAGCTTCTCAGTGTTAGTTGCTATTACTTAAAAGTGTGTGTGTGTGTCCTACAAACACCTGAGTTTTGACAAAGAAGCAAAAAATGTAAAATGGAAAAAGAAAGCATATTCAACAAATGGTGCTGGGATATCAATGGTGTATCAACATGTATAAGAATGAAAATAGATTCATATCTATCGCCATGCACAAAACTCAAGTCCAAATGGATCAAAGACCTCAACATAAAACCAACCACACTGAACCTTATAGAAGAGAAAGTGGGAAGTACACTTAAACACATTGGAACAGGAGACCCCTTTTTAAATATAAACCCAGTAGCACAGACACTGAAAAAAACAATTAATAAATGGGACCTCCGGCAACTGAGAAGCTTCTGTAAAGCAAAGAACACAGTCAACAAGACAAAATGGCAGCCTACGAAATGGGAAAAGATCTTCACCAACCCTACACGAGACAGAGGTTTGATCTCCAAAATATACAAAGAACTCAAGAAACTGCTCATCAAAAGAACAAATAATCAAATTAAAAAAATGGGATTTAGACCTAAACAGAGAATTTTCAACAGAGAAATCTAAAATGGCTGAAAGACACTTAAGGAAATGCTCAACATCCTTAGCCATCATAAAATGCAAATCAAAACAACTCTGAGATTCCATCTTACACCTGTAAGAATGGCCAAGATCAAAAACACTGATGACAGTTTATGCTGGAGAGGATGTGGCTAGAGGAAACACTTTCCCAAAGCTGGTGGGAGTGCAAACTGGTCCAGCCCCTTTGGATTTGAGTATGGCAATTTCTCAGAAAATTAGGAAACAAGCTACCTCAAGACACAGAAATACCACTTTTGGGTACACACCCAAAGGATGCTCAATTATGCCACAAGGACATGTGCTCACCTATGTTCATAGCAGCTTTGTTTGTCATAGCTAGAACCTGGAAACAACCTAGATGCTCCTCAACTGAAGAATGGATAAGGAATATGTGGTATATTTACACAATGGAGTACTACATAGCAGAAAAAAATAACGACATCTTGAAAGTTATGGGCAAGTGAATGGAGCTAGAAAACATCATATTGAGTGAGGTAACCCAGACCCAGAAAGATAAATATCGTATGTACTCACTCATAAGTGACTTTTTGACATAAAGGAAACAAAAACCAGCCTACAGTCCACAATCCCAGAGAACTTGGACAACAAAGAGGACCCTAAGAGAGACATACATTGATCTAATCAACATGGGAAGTAGAAAAAGACAAGATCCCCCAAGTAAATTGGGAGCATGGACCCCATGAGAGAGGGTAGAAGAGGAGGGGAGAGGAAGGGAGGGGAACAGAGAAAAATGTATAGTTCAATAAAAAAATTAAAAAAAAAGTGTCTGTGTGTCTGTGTGTCTTTCTGTGTGTGTGACTGTCTGTGTGTCTATGTGTGTGCATCTGCATGTGTGCATCTCTGTGTGTATGGTGCTGGGGATCTAGGATACTTATTTGACAAGTGTTCTACCACTGAGTCACATCTCCAGTCTTAGTTGCTCTTATTTTATGTTGTTCTTATAAAATGACACAAGAGATTAACAACTAATTGAATTTGGTTTTGTTTGGTTGTGTCTTTTTGATATGAGGTCTCACTATGAATCCCAGGATGGCCTTGAACTCGTGATCCTCTTGCAGCCTTCTGAGTGCTAAGATTATGGGCACATGTCATCATGCCTATCCTTAAGTGGATTTGTTTGTTTTGTTTTGTTTGTTTTTAAGGCTTTATTTTTAACTCTGTGGGGTGTGTGTGTGTGTGTGTGTGTGTGTGTGTGTGTCGATGGCTGTGGAGCCCAGACAATTCCATCCCTATGAAAATGGAGTGACATGTGGCCATGAGTTGCCTCGTACAGATGCTGGAGTAGAACTTGGATCTCCTGCAAGAGCACTACGTTGTTAACCACTCCTATGTTAACCAGTCCTATGTGTTCAATGTCAATTGAAAATCTTCTCACAAAATTTCTGCTTAATAACTGCACATAATGATAGTGACTTACAGACCCGACCCCAAGGCCAGCAACCAAGAGGAACAGGCCATGGGCTCCAGTTATTTGCCCAGAGACGACCTGGTGTGCAGTTAGGAACCCAGCAGAGGAGACCAGTGTTTAGAATGAAGAAACCCTGGCTCATGACCCCTCCATACTATGCCTCTCTGGCTAATGTTTTTTCAGCTTGCTGATGAGAATTGGAACCAAATGATCCTAGGAACTTTAGAACAAACGCAAGTTAGAGAATTTTAGCTGAAGTCTGCCTTAAGTAAGTAAGTAAAAATAAAATAAAAAAAATAAATAAAAAATCTCTTGTTTAGAATAAAAAATAATTCGGTGGCTTTGGCCCTTCTGGGAACAGAGACAATCTTATTGTGAGGAGGACAGCAAGACACCCTGGACAAGGAAAATCCTCCAGAGTACAAATCTGAGGTCAGTTATGAACATGGCATACCAAGAGCTCTGCTTGCTCTTGTTCTGTGCTCCTGAATTTTTGTTGGTGGTATCAGGGAGATGTCTCATTAATGTGCAGGGTCTGGAAGGGGGCAGGATAATCCTTCTAAATTTTGCAGTGTCTCTTTGATTGGTGCAAATAGCTGCCAATCAGGGACTCTGAATATCTGAATTGGTCTTAGGGGAGGAAGGCCATTTCCACCCTAAAACTGATCAACTGCATAAAATATAACAGTAGAGCTGGGCATGGAGGTCCACGCCTTTAACCCCAGCACTTGGAAGGCAGAGGCAGGTGGATCTCTGTGAGTTCCAGGCCAGCCTTGTCTACAGAGAGAGTTCCAGGACAGGCGCCAAAGCTATAGTGAGAAACACTGTATCGAAAAACAAAATAAAACAACAACAATAACAACAACAAAAGTAACAGTTGAAGTATCCAATGCACCAGGGTATCCTGGGGAAGACTTGTAATCCCAGTACTCAGGAAGCTGTAACAGAAGGGTAGATGCCTGTTTGAGGCCAGCCTGGGCTACATAGCTAATTTGTATAGTAACCTGGACTGAATTACATACCAGTGAAGTTCTTTAAAATATAATCAATCAATCAACCAATAAATCCAATACATAGAATGAGGTTGTTGTGAGAGATGCAATCGTAAGATGTGTACCTTCGAGGAGCCCGAACCTCCATCAGGAGGTGGTGAACACAAAGAGTTTGTAGGACTATTTGTATCATCTGAAATGCCACCAGCTCCAGAAAACCACCCCAAACCCTGAAACACTTACAGTCAGGTCTGAAGCTGTCACTTCTGGCTGTTCTCTTTACCAACAAACTGCCATTAAAAAAAAAAAAAAAAAAAAAAAAAAAAAAAAAAAAAAAAAAACCTCACTTTAACCACTCCAATAAATTAGGATATGAATTGCAAAGAGAATTAAACACTGTTAAGTTGTTGTGTACTCCTTTGCCCCACCCCCATGCCTGTGGCACACCACCATGGCCTGCTTTAACTCCTGCCTGTGCAGCTGCAGTGTGGCCTCGCTGGGCTGGATGAAGGAAGCATGCTGAGCAACTGCTGAGGGCAGGCCTGGCTGCTCCTGGAAGCATGTGGAGCAAGGCTGCTGCCAAAGGCCTTGCTCTCTCATCCCTGTCTCCCTCAGGCTGGCAATCAGATGAGTTTTGTCAGGGAGGTCAAAGCCTAGCATCCCAGGTTCAGTGCTAATGGCTCGGGACAGTGTTCTGGGAGAGGATGCCTCTTGGTCTTGTTTGGGAGGACAGAGCACTGCGCTGTGCTGTGTCTGACTCACCTGGCTATCTTCACCATGTTGGGCTTGTATTTCTCGATGCTGCTGAGCAGCGCTTTCATGGTCCTCCCAGTTCCAACAACATCCTTTGCAAAAAGCAGAAAGTTCACCAAAGCAATTTGCATAGCATACTGCTCTTTACATTTGCAGAGCTATTCCTTATTAAAAAAATGCACATTCATTTCAAAGGCCAACCCGTAAGAGTCCACACAGAAAGCAGAATCAGTTATGCGTTCATGGGCATATCATTTGGAAGCTGGAAACCATGCTGGTGAATATTCTTCTTGCATCCTTCAGCCTCTGGGGAGCATGTGGGTCCTTCCTCATTGAGTGGACCCAGGCTCTCGCATGCACAGTCAGGGACTAAATTTGGCCTGGAGGTTACATTTCACAAAACAGCAGACACATGAATTTTCATGGACATGGGATGTACATCTGAATACACTGAGAGGATAAACGCCTTGGCCTCCCTACTCCTTAGGGGATGCTAAGTGTGTCTGCGCGGCAGCTGGTGACATCCAGGGGTTCTGAGCTCCTCGGCTGCAGCGAACACAGGGTCTCTGCTGCTGACGAGCTGTGGATGCACGATTACACAGAACTGGCAGCTGCAACCTATTGTCCTCCTGCTAGAACTCAGCTGTCAGGGGTTGGTGAGGAGCACAACAGGTCCCAGTCTAGCCAGGGTCCAGCGACTCATTTGGCTGGAGGGGCTACTCCCTGAGTTGTGTGCAGCCAGAACTGTGCACAGAGAAGGTCACACCGAAAAAAAATGTGGAGCGAAAGCCTGACAACAAAAAGATTCTTTGGATTTTCCGTGGCTGATTAGACAGGTGTGTTCCTGAGGGAACGTGGCCGTTGACTGTGGGAGTCTGCTGGGTCTACAGCCCTTCTGCATCTTTCTTAACAGAAAAACAAAAACAGCAAAAGACCCACCACCACCAAACCCCCATAACTTTCCCTTGGATTGTCATGTTGATTGAATTTATGATTTTTGAGGCTTGAGAATGGATTAAAGGCATTAGAGGTCATGAGGTGAGGAGAGTTCTAGCCTTGGTTTTGCTGTTAAATAAATAGTAATGAATGTATTGGCTGTTTCCACAAGCTGTCTACTCTCCCTCCAAATGTCTGCCTCATAAATCATGAAAGAACCGACTGAGGTGTCTGTGAGATTGGCTATAATACAGGACCAACTCCCACATAAGCATTGAAAACTGTTGGGTTTGGATCATTTGAATCCAGTGACTATAGTTGGCTTCTGTTAAACACCTTTAAAGTGTTACACGCCGGGGGGGCCGGGGGACTTGATACTTGGTCAATTTGATAAACAAGGCCAACATTTTGAAACTCTCCTTTAGACTCTTATAATTTCCAATATCAAAAAGGAATGGCCAGCTTACCTCAACAATGAGAACATTCTGGAGGGAAAGAAAAAGACAAAAAACCAAAAGCATTTCAGAATACAAAAATAAATAAATAAATAAATAAAAAGCGTGTGTCACAAGGCAAAGCCGAGTTTTGTTTACAGTTAGAATTTCATAATGTGCTCAGTAGATCTTTCCCATCCTTTAAGTCCAAACAACCAGAGGAAACAAAAGTATCCCAGATTCATTTTAACATCACCGTGGGATTACTTGGTGTTGCAATTTTATTGTCTATATTCAGGTTAGTAGCAGGCTCAGGTCAGACCTTGATGCCTGTTTGAAGCGGCTATCCACAAAATTATGACATCTCAGTGGCCCATGTCCCTGTCTCCCATCTTTGAGATCCTAAGCTCACCAGCAGGAAAGCCGGCCAACATCAACTACATCATTAACGGAACTCAGCAGATATCATACACTTAACTGTGACAGCCCTCTTTCCGTGTAGTCACCCAAACCTCCGCTGTGTCTCCCCGTGAGTTTCCAACCCTGAAGAAACAGAGCTGGGGTGTGGTGGGGTGGGTAACTGAAAGAGCTTTGAGGGGCCTGCTGTGTGTTTTTATGACATGTCAGATTCCTCGCTACGCACTCACAAGGTATTCATCGACTTTTCCTGAGAAATAAATTATGTTTCATTCCATTTCTTGTTAGGTAGCCTCTTTGCCCACTAGACTTTAAATTTCATGTAGTAGGGGATTGTGTCTGTCTTGTTCACTGATGTATTCCCAGACCCTACTGAATTACCTGTGCGCAGAGGCAACAATTATTATTTTTTTAAAAAAGAATAGGAACCGTTAGTTTTTATCAGTGAATTAAAATAAACCAACTAAGTGGATTGGTAGTAGTAAATAAATGCTGCCCACCAAATTATGACTATGATAATATACTATTACAATCACTAAGTGGAAAGAATTTTTCTTGAAAGTAATGAGGTTTTATTTAATGCTTTAAATTTTTTATACTTATTTATTTTGTGTCAATGTGTATGGGCACAGGTCCCAGCCCCTTGATCTTTCTCATTCATCCTTGATTAAGTAACTGTAATATCAGATCAAAGCAAAATTTCTTATTTATATCTGATACAAAGGAGATTTAATGAATGAAGAACATTAACAAACCACCTCCCCAAACAAGAAAACTGGGAAAGCTGTATTTTACAGTCCATGTCAAATGTGTAGAAATGCCTGTCTGGAAGAGCTTTTCTCTTAGGTATGACATTCTTATTAAATCTATTTATTACAAATATTAATTTTCACCTGGGAGGCAGATGCAGGTAGGTCTCTGCGAGTTTGAGCCTAGCCAGGTCTACAAAGTGCCAGGACTGTAACACAGAGAAACTCTGTCTTGAAAAGAAAAGGAGTATTAATTTTATCATCAAGATGAAATGCTGTATTATCTACTCTCAAAGGCCTTGTATTCTTTCTGTGCTGTTGGACATTAATGTCATGTGTGGGGCTCAGCCCACTATGTCCTCTAAGACTCACGCTGCCAGGAATCTGTTTAGCATTTTGAACATGGCTTGCTATGACCTTTGCCCTCGATTCATAGCACTTAACTTGGACATGTATTTTCAGTTTGACTGAGGCTTGACCAAGACCATTAGCTAACCAGGGTGCTTAGAGAATGCTGTGGTTAATTGAATTTCCTTGTTCACAATCCCTTTTTGGTTCAATTATGTAAACAAAAATTTCTTTCCAAAATATGTTGGTATGCATTCTTGTCTAATTATGGAGCCCTGAAAAGAATGATCTGTCTGTCTGTCTGTCTGTGTCTCTCTCTTTCTCTCTTTCCCCCTCCCTCTTCCATTTAAAAACTATGTAACATAGAAGTCATCTTTGAAAAGATTAACCACAGTCCTAAGACTGTAGGTAGGAAGTGGGACTTGCATGTGTACTGATCATAAGGTACATTATTTTAAGTTTGAAAGCTTTAAAGAAAACTGCCACCTCCAATTTCAGCTCTCCTCTCCCCACTTGCTGCTGGAAGAGGCCATCAGTGTGAGCTCTGCATTGCCTTCCTGGCTGGTTTGCCTGTGTTTCTCATAAGTACAAGTACTTTACATTTCTGAAAATACATGCATTATGTATTTTTTTTTCAAGGCTGAGATGGAATGCCGGACCTCCTGCATACCAGGCAAGTGTTCTTGTCTCAGCCTGATATATTTACTAACACATTTAAATAGTTAATTTGGTTTTTAAATGTATCAAATCATGTTTGAAAACAGAAAACCTAAAGATTTTTCTTCTCCATTCCTTCCTTCCTTTTTTCCCCAAAACACACAAAGTAAGCAAGTGCTCTCCCACAAAACCATACCCCAACCATGACCTTTTTTAAGTTTTAGTGTGTATTTAACTTTAAAGAATTTAAATGTATGTATGCTTTAAAAATATTGAAATTACAATAACATTCTCTATTTTATATAGCCAAAATCTCACATCTAACAAAAATGATAAATTTTTAATATCATATAAAGTCAACTGCATATTCAAATGTTTTCAGTTGTCCCTAAAAGGGCCTATGTAATTTGTCTCTTCAGTCTAAGACCACACATAGGATTCTACTGTGTTTTGAATGTATTCTCCAGGATTCCTGCATCTGAAAATTAATCACCAGCAAATGTTAAGGTGGGGCCCAATAAAAGGTGATCCATTCTGCCCTCAAGAGTAGAGTATGACTATCATTGCAAGAGTGGGTTAGTTATCTTAATAGCAGATTGTTATAAGAACGAGGGAGTCCCCTTTCAGTCTCTCATCCCTCTGTTTCTTGTTTTTCCACTCTGCCGTGGGATGATAAGTATGTATGAAGGCCCAAGGTATAGAAGATGTAATGGTCCCAGCCTTGGAAGCATTAGTGTTGATATCTAAGGAAACCGATCCTTTCGTTTTCATGCACCAAGATTGAACTCAAGGGCTGAGAGACAAATAGTAGCCAATTTCCTCTGGTCAGCACAGAACATTGGCTGACAGGAAAAGATGACAGGAAAAGGCAGTCCAGAAAGGCTTATGTTCAAGGTGTGGTGGTGTACACCTAAGCAGAGTCCCTGGGAAATAGAGCCAGGAAGATCATGAGTTCCAGGTCAGCTAGGGTTATACAACATGACTCTGTGGAAGGGAGGAAGGAGGGAGGGAGGGAGGAAGGAAGGGAGGAAGGGAGGAAGGGAGGAAGGGAGGAAGGAAGGAGATAGAGGACAAAATAAGAAAGGAGAGCCCTGGAGAGCCCTGTGTGGTAAATGAATAATTTTGGCTCTTTTCTTTCACTTATGAGATGTCATCTGCAGTTTTCTCTACCCGGCCTTTCGTTACCATCTACTGCTTTTAATCTGCTCTGAGCAAGCGAGAGATCCACTAAAATCCCCAGTTTCTGAGTGAGCAACCGTGGGGACTTTTTCCAGAACTCTCTATGCCTCCAAAACGCTTCCCATCTGATAACCGTGATCGCTGAATCTGAGATGTTTGCCAATTACTGTCTTAGTCATCTCCTCACAGCTAGCTCACTTCCTCCCAGAAAGCCAGTAAAAATCTGTGGGGGCTGTAGGCGTAAATTCTATAGGGACTTTAGACTCCAGTGTGTTGTTTTGTTGCTATTCTGAGGTCTGAGCAAAGCCTATTGCATTGAGTTATCCTAATGAAGAAGGGAGAAGGTAGGAAAGAATTATACAAATATACATAATGTTCTTAAATTGTCTGCCCCTACTTTTGACCTTTGAAAACACAAAGCAATCAACACACCACACTGTCTCAGCAACCGCAATAGGGGTTTGTGGGTGTGGTCACCCTCGGAGGGATTGGCACAGCAAGGTTGAGCTGGAGGGTGGGCTGCAAGGTTGAGCTGGAGGGTGGGCTGCCGACTGTGAGGAGGAGCGCGACTCCAAATCCCACAGAGAAAGGAATGTCGCTCAGCATTTCATTTTCTGCCATAACTCCCTAAGTTGCCAGAGTCATTCATCAGTGGGCATTTCCACCATTGTTCTCAGCCGAGTCAGAAGCAATAAAAAGGAATGATTTAAACAGTTAAGGCAGCCGGGGAGTGTGTGTGTGTTGGGGGGGGAGGTTGGATTTTGGCAAGTTTCAATGCTTCATTCTGGCATTTGATTAGAAACTTATTTGGGGGTAGGGCGCTTGTCCCCTGAAATCTTGCCCCGAACCTGCACAGCTGTGCGTCTGCGCTGCCAGATCTGGGCCTGCTTCCCTGCTTCCCTGGTTTTCTTTCACCCTTTCAGGGGTTTCTCTTCAACATGAATAGAGTCTTCCTGCTTTAATGGATACACACATTTTATGAAGTGCCAGGATTAAATCAACTTGGGGATAGAAAATGAGAGCGAGACGTGTTGTGAGGACAGCTTAAGCTCACAGAGTAAAGGCTTTAAGCGTGAGAGGTGACGGAACAGAAGCGGCGAGGGCTCATTTTGTTCAGCAGCAATGACCTAGTTAGAACTGTGACTCAGCCAGCCTCCCTTGAAAGTGAAAGAAGGCAAGAAAGAAAAGGAGAGGGAAAGACAGAATCCTTTCTCTTATTTGAACTCCAGCATCTTGAGAGGACCCCAGAGGTCCCAGAGCTGCTGGTAACACACACGGTACAACTGAACGGGGGGAACTGTTGCCATGTGCTTTCTGAGGTCCTTTCTTTCATAAACCAATGCAGCAACCCTTTCCACACCTCTCTCTTCGTTCTTGCTGCATCCCTTGTCTTGCACACACAGACAGGGAAGTGCTTGGGCAGCTCTGCCCCTCCTCTCTCTCCCACTTCCTTCGCTCTAGCTTTTATTCATACTAAATTAATTAGTTAGTTAGTTGAGTGATCTTTTCTACAATTTACCACGAATATATTCTTTGTCCCCTAAGTAGCTCCATGATGTCGCCTCTGCCCAAACTCCGCAAGTTCAACTCTTTATTGAGACAATCCGTGTACTCTATAAACCCAACCCAGCCACACTTCCAGCGATTTATCATTTCCTTGTTCAGTTCCTGACTTGTTTCCTTAGTCATGCGGGGCCAGCCCTGGGCCTCTCTATTTTCCCTTTTCTCCTCCATTCTAAGTCTGCTTCTCTTTTCTCTTCCTTCTTCTATGTTACTCCTCTCCCCACATATTCTCCTTAAGATCAACACAGTTTCTTCTTCTTCTTCTTCTTCTTCTTCTTCTTCTTCTTCTTCTTCTTCTTCTTCTTCTCCTTCTCCTTCTCCTTCTCCTTCTCCTTCTCCTCCTCCTTCTTTTCCTCCTCCTTCTCCTCCTCCTCCTCCTCCTCCTCCTCCTCCTCCTCCTCCTCCTCGTCCTCCTCCTCCTCCTCCTCCTCCTCCTCCTCCTCCTCCTCCTCCTCCTCCTCCCAAGGAAAAGGATTTGTGGACTGACTCAGAAAACTATTCTTGAGGTGCTCAGCCCTGAATGAGAGAAGCCCTGTCTAATTCCTGGTAGAGTAATAACATGATAAGCGCACATGTATTGACTGGCTGGCGGTCTGTAAGATGAGCATATGAGAGGACAGAAGTTAGATGATGACTTGTACCAGCCTTGCCGGCCAATGCAGACTTTACTATACTTTTGAACTCTTCAACCACTAAAGCAAGGGCCCATTAGGTGTTGAATTCTTTATTCTCTTAAGTTTGCCCTGGCTCGTGCAGAATCTGCATAACTGGGAAGAGATTCTGGAATTTATGAGATTTCTTTATTGTCTTGATAATTCTTCTTGGGCAGACAAGACTGAACAGGAGAAGGATTGAATATAAACTGTCCTCCCGAAAGGCTGGCTGTGTTGTGTGCCCAGGTGGTGGCACTACTGAGAGGTGATTGTGTCAGGAGGACCCTATTTCATCACTGTGTTATTTGCAAGTAGAGCCTTACTAGAGGAAGTAGGTTGTTTTGGGGCGTATCTTCGATAAATGATATATGTCCTGCTTTGGAAGACTCTGCCTCTCCCACTCGGCCTCTCCCGGCAAAGTGAGCACACCCTTCCCTTCACCTCTCACCATTCCTTTCTATCATCATGTTCTGCTGCACCACAGACCTAAGGCGGTGGAGCCAAATAGACTGAGATCTCCGAGACTGTGAGCCAAAATGAATCCTTCCCCTCTTTGGCTGTCTTCTTGGGTGTTTTGTTGCAGCCCTAAAAAGTCTGAGAACACAAGGTCCTTATTTTATAAGGAAAAGAACATCCCTAAAGTTAAACGAAAATTTTAATTCCCCACCCCCCAAGAGTACTTGCCTTTCAACCCAGGGACTTGTGAGTGCTAGGCAAGCACTCTACCACTGAGCCACGTCCCCAGCCAGGTGAGCACTCTACCACTGAGCCACATCCCCAGGTAGGCGAGTACTCTACCTACTGCAGCTACACCCAGGGCTAGAGAAACCACTGCTACACCCCCACTGAAGCAAACATTCTACCACTGAGCTACAGCCCCAGTTAGGCAAGTGCTCTCCCACTGCTACACCCCCAGTTCCAGTTATCTCCCCTCTCCCACCTTAGTGATGCAGTTTTTACTTCTGCCATCTTCCTTTTTAAGTTTCATTAATACTGAAGACTTTTGCCTTCTCTTGGACACTCAGCACCTTTCTCCTCCAGTCCTACCCTAAATCAGCTGCTTTGATGTGTCCTTTCATAGCTACCTTCATTAACTTCTGTTGCTCTCCAAAGCATTCTCTGTAAAGCTGCCAACATGTTCTTAAAACACAAGCTGGATCCCATCACTTGCCACCAGAAGCCTTGCCAAACTGGCTTAGACTTAGCATTTGCCTCTGCCATGTCCTTGCTCAAAACGAACTGAAACTGTCTTCCTGATTTCTGCATAAGATGATACACTCTCTGCTCATCCAATGTTTATTTCAGCCTGTGACGAACCAGGCTGCTTGTGACGCTGCAGATGAGATGGGGAACACAGTGGTCTCTGCGCACTGACTTCCTGGTGGGGAAAGGCAAATAATAAAGTGCCTCCTAAGTAAGTACTAACTTGTAGATTGTAGAAGGGGCTCTATGGGATTGGGATCGCATCTAGATATATACTGGGCTGGAGGAAGATAGAAGGGCTTGCAGGTACCCACACCTGACAGCTCTGCAGGGGAACCATGCTGTACAGAGCAGATATTGGTCTTCAGGAAGAGGAAAGTGGGTTCTAGTGAGAAGGGTCAGCTTGTCCAGGGGGTTGGCAGGAAAGATTTAGCTAGTGAGGGTTCCGTACCATAAGGCCAGTGAAGTAAGACAACATGGTGGGGTTCCAGCAGGAATCGAGCAGTACTTACTGTAGTCAGGAATTTGGCTCATCTTTACAGAATTTTAGCTGAACGTTTGCTAGGTAAACCACAAACATATAATTATATTTGAAAGTCAGGTAATCAGTGAATAATTTCTTAGGGTAAGTATGTCCCAAACACACACAAAACACAGCCACAGAAAATATGTTTACTATATACTTATATTGAACTTTTATTCAATATTTAAAGTTCAAATTTGACTGGGCTACTTGGTTTTTGTTTGTTTTTGTTAAGTCTGGCAACTGTTAATTAAAAGGGCACTGAAAGGTTTCCATTGACTAGCAACTTGGCCCAGTTTGCATTTTAAGATCCCTTGGGTGAGTTTGTGGAGAATGGTTTGAAGGCTAGCGGGAGTCAGCTGGAAGCTGAAGTTCAGGAAAGCAAGGTGGGCTCGAGGGAACGCAAGGGTGGTTCAGCGGAGGTGGTGGGTTGGATTGGGGTGACCAGCGCCTTGCAGGGCTCGAAGTGAGAAGGGCCCATCTAGGAAGTTGCTGTCTGGAGCTCTGGTGTGGCTCCCGAGATTCTCAATTTCTAATAAGCTCCTAGGTGGTCTAACAGAACCTAGGTGTTGCTGACCTCGAGCCAGCAAGCTCCTAGAAATAACTGGGGTCCCAGGACCACTAGGGCTTCATTCCTGTTTATATGAACAAAGTTGTATCGGAGCACATCGCCACTCGTTGCTCTCATGACACAACAGGGACTGTTAGTCCACGCTGTCTAAAATATTTATATTTGGCTCTTTATAGAAAAATTTGCCTGCCTGAACTATACTTTTAGTAGTAAGGGTCACAACTTGGAAAACAGCCATGAAGGTAAAATGCAGATAAACACCCAGGCTAGCTGAAGATGTGATGGTTGGGGGATGGTCTGCCATGGCTCACCTAGCCTTTCCCTCTGCTCCTGAGGTTTAGTCTTTAAAATCAAGTGAGTCTGTCAGTTGCCGAGTGCCTAGTATTGTTGATTTACTTTAGAAGTTCTTGGCCCAAGGGATTCTACTTGGCGCCTGTTTAAATGTATAGAAATGTTTCTTCATAAACAGGAGGTTATAGATATAATAGATAGCATCAGGTAGCCCAAAAGAAACAGTCCTGTCAACAGGAAGCTGATGTTGACTCCTGCTTCTATGCACTCTTGGCTAGTTGTCCACTTTCTTTTGATTTGTGCCTGCTTTCAGCAGGAGACACCAAAGCCAAGACCGGCATTGTCTACTGCCTACTGCACCACTGGTAAAAAGCCACCCCCAACCCCCACCCCTAGCACTCAGAGGGCACACCTATGCCTGTCTATGAGGGAAATCACTTCAGAACAAAATGGGAAGGGAGGAGGGAGGAAGCCCAAACAAAATCTTTGAGTTGTCATTTAATGGTCCTCTCAGCAAAAGCACAGACGAGTGCAGACTGTGTAGCGGTGACTGTATGGAAAGAACTAAGCTAAATGGCTTAACGCACCCTTCCAGGGTGTTGAATGCTATGGATTTCAGGAAATTGCTTCTCAGGAGTAGCTTCTTCAGGCCTTCCTGCTGCAGCGTAGCGACGCCAGATGCCTAGTAATGGGCTAATGCTAACAAGTTCACTGCAGTTGCCACCGGACAAAATTTACTGCTCCTGGAACCCACAAAGCTGTCTTCCCAGGAAGAGGAAGCTGTTTTCTACTCAGGGTCCAGGCAGCTCAGTAGCAGTCCAAATATTATGATACGTACTTTTATTAAATGCGGCTGTTGTTCTGCTTTTCCCCATCTGGGGAATTGTGTAACGGTAACAGCTGCCAAGGATGAGAGATTAAAGTGTATGAAATAGACTGACAGATCTACTTAGAGAGGTGAAGTTGTTTTTGTGTTTGTTTATTTGGTGTGTGTGGGGTGGGGGTGGGGTCAGGCTAGATCATGATAGTCGAAGAGAAACCAATGCTACACTTGCTAGTTGCTTTCACCCCCAGTGACTCTGCGTTCCAAATCACTCCAAGATCATCTGCTTAGGAAGCTGCCCTCCTCCGAATCCCAGAATTCAGATTAGAACCCAAATAATCCTTTCACAACATAATTAGTCAAGGGCAAGTTTAGAACTCTAAATTAAAATACGTTTTTCCTTCGCCACCCATCTACCGAAATCTGGTAGGTTTTATTCTTTGTGTGGGGGTGTGGGATGGGGTGGGGGTGGTAGCCCTTCAAAAATGGCTAAAAATTGTACTCTTAAGAAGCACAACAGCATGCTGTACGATTCAATGAACCTGTTTAAATGTCTCACCACAGTGTTTGCTGCAAAGCGACAGACAGAAATCCCAAAAGAGAAAGCTTCTTTGGGGGTAGAGGTGCCTCTGAGGTGAGTAGAAAGGCCATCAAGGCCCAGGGTTTTGCTGTCTGAAATAAGACTGCAATTGGAAGCTCCAAGGATTTGGCCTGCAGCACGCCCTACACACTGGCTGTGTTTGGGACAGGAGACATTATTAAAGGGTTTCACACGTCTATTTGCATGAATTAGCAAACCCGGGAGAGCTGCTGAAATGCATTTGAAGCTCTGACCTGACATGAAGGTCACATAGACATCCCCAGAAGTGCATGCCTACAGAGAAGTTACATTAACAAACCTTTCCAGTCAGTGTTGAGAGATCCTCGCCTCCTATGATCTGCAGCTCGCCCATGGACCGGTCATTCTGCAGAAATCGGGGAGCGGGGAGAAAAGGAAGACAATGACTTTTGTGCACAGGGAAACTTGAAAGGCACATTTTCCCATCTTCTTGGTTAACGGCTAGACTGTGCCTTGCAAATACAGTGCACATAGCTAGCGCACATAGCTAGCAAGGGCTCACGGTTGCCTATGGTTACCAAGAGCCACTTTCCTGCAGGCTCTTGAGACAAAGCCAGCTAATGACTGGCTGGTGGGGAAAGACTGGAGAGGGGGATGGACGGCTGGAGGGAGGATAGACAAACTTAATAAACCATAGATAGTACTGTCTTGGGTCAGACAAGTAGGGAAAGACATCACTTGTGGGCTTTTCTGAGGTGAGGGTTGGGAGCTCCAGGAATGACTTCTAATAAACCCTAGCTATGGTTTGCAGTGGGGAACAATCCAATTCTGATTTCACAGGAAATGGAGCCCTCATCTGTTCTCTTTCCTTGGAAATTCAGCCCCTCATCTGATGACAAGAGCAATGGTAACAGACCGTGTGGTCAAGAAAGACTTGATCTTCTGACATAAGTGATCAAGCCTTAGGACCTGTCTGTAGCTCCAAGAATATGAGAACCAGGGAGATTTTTTTTTAAATTTAAATCTTCTATGCGTGAGTTTATCATTCATTGTTTACAATGTTTAAATATCGAACATTCCTGTGTCCTAAGAAAACTTCAAAAAGCAAGCAAGTACACAAACAAGACAGCAAATACTTGCTTTTTATTTTTAAGTATACATAACACGAATCACTTGGGGAAGAATTCAAGTGGAACTTGTTCTTTGCTTCTGCTTCTGCCTTGTGACAGACGCACATCAGAGGAACTGAAGCAGACAGACTCAACCAATCCGCTGCGTGAACGAAGCAAGAATGTGGTGCTGTTGCAATGCCGTGATGGAAAATGATAAACTTGAGAAGACAATTGTGTGTGTGCCATTCCGTGCCGCAGCAGGAGATGTCCTCGGTTGCTGATGCAGACAGCTATTCCATTTGGTAGTCTAGCAGTCTTTCCCCGGTTTGGAAGAGTCCATCCCATAGGGTCAGGCAGGACCAGCCTTAGAGGCGTAGAGAGATCAGTTCTGCTGGAGGCTACAGTCAGCCTTAGAGTTTGTGGTCTCTCAAGCCACTTCCTGGAGGAATTTTCTTGAGCCGGCTTGAGTTGGATTCTGCTGCCTACAGGCAGCAATTTCTGTAAGTATGTAGAGTCACTTTGTCAGGGAATTGGTTGCTTGGGAAAGGGAGAAATAGCCCAAACACAAGAATGACAATTGTGCCAGTAAAGAACCTTTTTTACCAAAAAGAGAGCTACACGGTGAGACCCTCTCTCTGAAGAACCAAAATAAACAGAAGTGTTGCTAAAGTGTTTCCCTTTAGTGCAGTGTTGGAGGAGCATCTGAAAGTGAGCCATTAAGTTAGATAACATTAGCAGTCTGACCCAGGAGAGAGAAGGGTCACTGAATACCCAGAATTCTAGGCTTTTTTTGTATTGGTGGTCCAGTCATATTCACAAGGAGTGATCATAGTGGCTAAGAACTTGCTAAACAATACCAAAGGGGGCTGGAGCGTCAGCTCAGTGGTGAATTGCTTTTGCAACACTCAAAGAGGACCCAATTTCTGTTCGCAGACCACCCATCCAGAGGTTCACACAAGCAGTTTCAGGCATCTGACACTCTATTGCGGCCTCCAGGGGCGCCTGAACTCGTGTAGCATACACAAACACAACCATACATAAACCAAAGTCTTTTTTTTCTTATTTTTTGTCTTTGTTTTTATTGAGCTATATATTTTTCTCTGCTCCCTTTCCTTCCTCTTTCCTCCCCTCCTACCCTCTCCCATGGTTCCCATGCTCCCAATTTACTTCGAGGATCTTGTCTTTTTCTACTTCCCATGTAGATTAGATCAATGTATGTCTCTCTTAGGGTCCTCTTTGTTGTTCAGGTTCTCTGGGATTGTGGACTGTAGTCTTTTTTTCTCCTTTATGTCTAAAAGTCACTTATGAGTTACTACATATGATATTTATCTTTCTGGGTCTAGGTTACCTCACTCAATATGATGTTTTCTAGATCCAACCATTTGCCTGCAAGTTTCAAGATGTCAATTTTTTCCTGCTCTGTAGTCCATTGTGTAAATGTACCTCATGTTCCTTATCCATTCTTCAGTTGAGGGGCATTTTAGGTTGTTTCCAGGTTCTGGCTATGACAAACGATGCTGCTATGAACATAGTTGAGCACATGTCTTTGTGGCATGATTGAACATCCTTTGGGTATATACCCAAAAGTGGTATTTCTGGATCTTGAGGTAGGTTGTATCCTAATTTTCTGAGAAATCACCATACTGAAATCCAAAGGGACCGTACCAGTTTGCACTTCCACTAGCAATGCAGAGGTATTCCCTTTATTCCACATCCTCTCCAGCATAAGTTGTCATCAGTGTTTTTGATCTTGGCCATTCTTACAGGTGTTAAGATGGAATCTCAGAGTTGATTTGCATTTCTCTGATGACTAAAGATGTTGAGCATTTCCTTAAGTGTCTTTCATCCATTTTAGATTCCTCTGTTAAGAGTTCTCTGTTTTTAGGTCTGTACACCATCTTTTTTTATTGGATTATTTGTTCTTTTGATGATCAATTTCTTGAGTTCTTTGTATAATTTGGAGATCAGCCCTCTGTCTGATGTGGGGTTTGTGAAGATATTTTCCCATTTTGTAGGCTGCCATCTTGTCTTGTTGACCATGTCCTTTGCTTTACAGAAGCTTCTGTAGCAGAGTCTTAAGTCAGGCATTGTGATATCTGCAGAAGTTCCTTTATTGTACAGGATTGTTTTGTCTATCCTGGGTTTTTTTTGTTTACCATATAAAGTTGAGTCTGTGAATTTTGCTGGGATTTTGCTGGGAACTGAATTGAATCTGTAGTTTGTTTTTTGTAAGACTGCCATTTTTACTATGTTAATTCAACCTGCCCAAGAGCATGGGAGATCTTTCCTTTTTCTGTTGTCTTCTTCAATTTATTTCTTCAAAGATTTAATGTTCTTGTCATACAGGTCTTCCACTTGTTTGGTTAGAGTTACTCCAAGATATTTTATCTTATTTGTGGCTATTGTGAAGGGTGATGTTTCTCAGATTTCTTTCTCAGTCCATTTATCATCTGCGTACAGGAAGGCTACTGATGTTTTTTCGAGTTTATCTTGTATCCTACTACATTACTAAAGGTGTTATGAGTTGTAGGAGTTCCTTGGTAGAATTTTAGGGGTTGCTTAAGTAAGCTATCATATCATCAGCAAATAGTGAAAGTTTGACTTCTTCTTTTCCGATTTGTATCTCCTTGATCTCCTTTTGTTGGCTTATTGATCTAGCTAGAACTTCAAGAACTATATTGAATAGATATGGAGAGAGTGGAACCTTGCCTTGTTCCTGATTTCAGTGAGATTGCTTTGAGTTTCTCTCTATTTAGTTTGGTGTTGGCTCTTGGCTTGCTGTATATTGCCTTTTTTATGTTTAAGTATGTTCCTTGTATCCCTGCTTCTCCAAGATTTTTATCAGGAAGGGATGTTGGATTTTGTCGAAGGCTTTTTCATTATCTAATGAGATGATCATGTGTTGTTTTTTTCCTTCAGTTTGTTTATATGGTGGATTACATTGACAGATTTTTGTATGTTGAACCATCCTTGTGTCTCTGGGATGAAACCAACTTGATCATGGTGGATGATCATTTTCCCAGTATATTATTGAGTATTTTTGTATCAGTGTTAGTGAAGGAGATTGGTCTCTAATTCTCCTTCTTGGCAATGTCTTTGTGTAGTTAAGAAAACTTTAGAAAGTATCAAGGGAGAATGCTTTCTTATCACTCCAGAGATACAGGGTTCAACATGGGATAATCTGTATATTATAATCAGTTATGTTATAACCAAGAGAAACAGAATTTCAGGCCGAGGATAATCATAGCTGCATGCAACCACAAACCACAAGGCACCACATGGCTAGTGAGATTTGGATTAACAGATCAGAGTACATTTTCAAATAATTCTGTTATTCCACCCAACTGTCGAATGTTTATCTCTATCTTATTGGCTTTATATTTGTTTGTTAAAAACACAATAACAACAACAAAAACCATGGGCCATCAGAAAACTAAATACTGTACTCAAAGTCACACAGAGTGCTGCCAAATGAAGTCTCATTTACAAAGACCTTTCTTAGTCCAAGTTTCTAAACATGTTTTTAATATTAGATTTGTCCTTAACCCATCTGGAAGTTATATCTTCCAAGTGTGTATATAGTCAATTATCCCAACACCCTTTACAAAATTATTATTTCCCCCTATGGTCTAGAAATGCTTGTTTTTAAAAGCAAATTTTTTTTTTATCCTCATGTAAAAGGGTCAGTTTCTGTATTTCTCCAACCTAACATGTTGATTCTGGTATTAATTAGTCTGATAGGCTCAAGTAATTAATTTGATTTCCCAATTAGTTATAAGTAGGAAATAATAAATTAGCTTTTCCTAATATTAAAATTTTATTCTTATAGTCACAGTTTTAAAGTATGTCTTAATATAAAATAGGGTCTTGGGTTTTTCCCCCCCTTTTCCTGTTTCCTGTTTTGGCTGTTTTTGTTCTTGCTCTTTCTCTTTGGGTTGTTTTCAATTGGTAGGTGTGGAACACTGGGTACAGAGAGTGGCGCATGGTCAGCCTCTGGTCTATCAGACACATATAGTTGCTGTTTGAATGGCAAGCAACCCAACACCACCACATATTGCCAGCTTGGTCTCCAGCTTGGTGGTCCTGGGAGGTGGTAGAACCTTTAAGAGGTGAAGTTGAGTAGACAGAGAATGTGTCACTGGGGGCTTGTCCTTGAAAGTGGTACTGGCACAATGACCCTTCCCCCCACTCTCTCTCATTTCCTGGTCACTGGGTCAGTGGCATTTGTTAGGATTCAGGCATTATGCTGGCCTGCCCTATCATCTGGCAGGATGTACCCAGGCAGTACCCTGTC